ATTAAACAGGCATGGTTGTGAGCACCTGTAGTCTCAGCTACTGGGGAAGCTGAGGCAGGAGGATCACCTGAGTCCAAGATGTGGAAGCTGCAGGGAGCTAGGATCATGCAACTGCACTCCAGCCAGGTGACAGAGTGAGATCCGACTTAAAATTAAATAAATTGGCCAGGCGTGGTGGCTCAGCCTGTAATCCCAGCACTTTGGGAGACAGAGACGGGAGGAAAGCTTGAGCCCACAGGTTCGAGACCAGCCTGGGCAACCTGAAGAGACCTCGTCTCTACGGTAAATCAAAAAATTAGCTGGGCGTGGTAGCGCATGCCTATAATTCTGGCTACTCGGAAGGCTGAGGTGGAAGGATCGCCTGAGCCCAGCAGTCGAGGCTGCAGGGTCCGTGGGCATGCCACTGCACTCCAGCCTGGGCAACAGAGTGAGACTCCAACTCAAAAAAAAAATTTACTAAATAAATAAAAACTTAAAAAGAAAAAACACCACTCTAATTTGAGTAGAGCTAGTCCTGCCAAGTTAGAAGCACAAAACAGGGGAAAAGACAGGCAGCCGTACCACAGGGAATTCCTTCTCTCTACAGGCAGGCTGGGACCTGAGAGGCCCAAAGGGGCACCCAGCCTGGGGAGGAGCAGTTACTCAGCGCCCCCTACGGGCCGGACCTGGTCTGGGAGTGGACAGACAGAAGTCCCTGCCCGGAGTTTACCCTCCAAGCAAGCGAGGAACAAGTGCCCGGTGCCCTGGAAAACAGACAGCAGGCAGAGAGGCTGGGAAGGAACCGGTGGGGGAGGGGGGAGATTCAGTGCGAACACAGGTGACATGTGGGTAAGGCCCGAGGCAGGGAGGAGGCCAGTGTGGACACGGGCCAGTGTGGATGTGGGTGAGATGAGGGGCTTTTTAGGCCAGAGGAGTGAGGGCAGAGAAGAGAACTCTTCCCTGGGCACGTGGCTATAAAACAGGCTAAATCCTTCCCCATTTTAAATCAGATCACTTCCACCCAAGCCTCAGTGCTCTCGCAGTTGGGGACCGTGTGTCCTTTCGGAAAGGGAGAAACAGGACGCTGGAACAAGCGAGGAGGTACCGGCAGGCAGAACTCCTCGAAGGCCGGCTTGACGAAGGTGGTGTACTGGGTCAGAATCTGCTCCAGGTCCCGTCCTCGGTGCACATCCCGGAGAACTGCAGCGACAGGAGCGGGGCGGCGCTCAGACCTCAGGACCTGTGCCAGCCTCGGCCGGGGCCAATGGGCCGCAGCGTCCTACCTCTGCGAGACAGCCTGACGTCGGAGTCTGTGTCCACGAAGAGGCGCAGGTGGAACATGTCGCGGATCTCCTGGCTGTAGAACACCAGGATGCCCTCGAACAGGACCACATCTGCAGGGTACACCACCGTGGTCTCCGGTAGCCTGAGCAGTGGAGATGCGGAATGAGCCCTGTGCAGTCGGCCTCAGTCCCGAGGTGCTGATGCCGTGGGGGGCACGGATCACGGAGGTGGGGGTGTCTACAGAAACCAACTGGGGCAAGGGCCACTGTGCGGCGTCTGTGGGAGCCCCAGAAGGGATGGCCTAGCTGGCCCCTCTCCTCGGCCCCAGCTTACCTGGAATGGGTCACAAAATCATAGGTTGGAACCTCGACAGTTTTGCCTTCCACGATGTTCTTCAGAGTCCTGTGCATCAGGTCATTGTCAAAAGCATCTGCGGGACGGAACAAAGGGCAAGACAAGCCAGCCACCCGCATGCAGCGGACAGGAGGGAACGCTGCGTGCTGGGGTCACCAAGTACCCCAGAACATTGAGACTAGCATCTGCCCCTACAGTTTACAACTGGCAGTGACAGGACCCTCTGCAGTCCTGTAAGCCACAGGAGGAACTGGTCCTTGCCACCCTCAGGCAGTGCCACCTGCAAAGCTGGGACACAGAAATGTTATCCCCACCCGGAAATTGGGACACACGGATTCCCGGACTGGCTGTCGCTGGGAGGTGGGTAAGCTCTGCCTCTGCTTCTCTCTTTCTGGAAATGACTACAGTTAGACTGCCGCTTCGCAGACCTTCTTCCGCAGGAAAGGGCTGAAACCGACAGCCAGGCAGAGTGGAATCTTCCACTGAGCTCCTGCAGGGGCACTCAGGGCCCGGAGCCTTCAGCCAAGCCCTCCTGACTCCAGCGCACAGCCCACCCCGCTGCCGGCGCCTGGGGAGTTTCCGGATGGGCTCTGGGACCTGTCTGCACCCCGTCCAGCCGAGGTCTGGCCTCCACCTACCTGGGTGGTCGAAGTTGTACTGTCCCTTCAAGGCCTTGGCCTTCTGCTCTGTCGTCAGGACCTTGTAGAACCTGTCCTGGCTCAGGATGACCAGCTTCCGCTGCCGGTGGTCCACCTCGTTCTGTCCCAGCAGCTCCATGATCTTCTCACACACGGTCGACTGCAGGGGCAGAAGCGCGAGCGCCGCCTGG